GGAAGAACAGTTTAGAACTGATAGAGCTATCCAGTATAAATAAAGTTAGTTTAGTTTAGGTTTTCTCCTGTAGTAACACTGGATCAATATGAGATGATTCTTTATACTGGACCTCAAGGGAAAACAGTTTAGAACTGATAGAGCTATACAGTATAAATAAAGTTTATAGTTTAGTTAAGTTTGATTTACAGAAAACGTAAAGTATTTTTATCTACCACAAAAAAAATTGATTATAAATCTATTTTTACTCTGCCAGGATAAGCGATGATATTTTGGAAGAAATAATCTTCGATGTGGCTAACGAATTTACTGGAGCTTGTGACGATGTCACAGAAATGGTATTTAAATCAGAATTTATGAAAGAATGAATGTTTTTAAATCATTTATAAATAAAGTATTTTATATATAGACAAAAATCGGCTAATGTAGGTGGTATTCTACAATAAGCTGTCGTGGTTTATCTGAAAAATATATCTCAATGTGGTAGCCCAGTGTAGGTAGTATTCTACAATAAGCTGTTGTGGTTTGTGTCTGAACAAGCCGTCAACAAGTTGTCTTCGCACTGCTTGTCACAAGTTGTCAACAAGTTTGGAACAAGCTGTTAAGTAGTTATACCCCCCCCCCCCGTACAGGGTACATTTTTCCCGCCAAAAACGTCGCCATTATTTTTTCCATCAAATGACGTCATACCATGCATGACATCGCGTTTATAGGTCAGTTTTTTCCTTATGCGTACTGTGCGTACACGCATAATTCGGTATCAATACATTCTTAAATATTTACAATTTACATATCAATAAAAATGTTATATTCTCAAAATAAACCTGGATCATAATAAAACTTCGACAATTTATTTTTAAATTATAACATGTCTTTTCAATTGTTCGAGTTGATGATATTTCGGAACTGAGTTTTGTTCCTTCGATATCAGTATATTCTATGATATGATTATTTTGTGTGTGTTTGGTGTAATGTACTCAGGTGAATATGATGTTTGTGATGTTACTCTGAGTGTGCATCCACACCGGGCAAGCTGAAAAGTTAGCTTGACCACGATGGGAATCTAACCCGCGACCTTTGGGATACTAGTCCAATGCTCTGCCAACTGAGCTACGTGGTCAAGTCTGTTCGAGCCGACTTGACCACAAGTTAAAGATCATTGCACCGTTTAACATGCCTTGCAATGGTGAAAATCTTTGCGAGACAAGTTGCACGAAGCATTGCTCAGAGTAGAAGTCGGTTCTACCTTTGGCAACGCTTCGTGTACCTATTGGCTTGATTCTAATTAATTTAAATTTGGCGCCAATAATAGCGCATCTCCCTAGTCTCCTCGCACGCCTCGATCCCCTATCGTTGCGAGTTGCATGAAAATAATTGCAACACCTCTTGCAATGCATTATCAAAATCTTTTTTAAAACATTGCGAGCAAGTTGCATGAAAAATTACAGGGCCTTTAGAAATAGATCCGTGTAAAACGTTAATCTGTGTGTTAATTTATGCATTCATCCAAGCAAAACGGTGTCCTAGCGACATTTTCTTCCAATAATGTATACATTTTCGCATTCGCCATACCCCTAGCTTGAATGTCTAATCGGTATGATATGATAGTCAAGCAAATGAGCTTTAATTTATGTTCTAACAGGCAACATTAAACTCAGCAATATTAAGGCTGTGCAGATTGCTGTATATAGTCCAACTTTTTTGTCATCACCCGTTGATTGAATGTAGTGGAATCTCCAGGGGCGGATCAGGACTTAGAAACAGAAGGAGGCAAGTTGTGCAAGTAAGAGTACAATAGTAGTGTCCAATCAAATCCAACCATAGATTAGTGTTGCATTCTACTGTTCGGAAACAGGCATGTCGACGTAAACAACCGTTTGTGTTGTGATTCTGGCTGGTTTTGTTGCCTTAGTAGAGTCGGCGTGTGTTAATTGTAATGGCAAATGCTGTGGCAAGTATCAGACCTGTTCAACCAACTGCAATACCTACTCATGTGATAAGGACAGTGAATGTGGTGACGGGTGCTGTGTTCTCGGTTATTGCACTGTGCCCTGTGTTACCGAGTTTTCAAAGTTATATGTTGGCCTTATAACAGGTGGATCTGTGTTCGTCTTTACAACCCTTATTAGCTGTATCTTTACATGCATTCGCCGTCGGTGTTGTCATCGCAAGAAGAAAGATGAAGATGGCGCGGAAGGTGGCGTGGTCGTTCACATGCCGATGGAGATGCCTGGCAATCCCCATCCACTGAACCAACCACACGAAATGGCAAGCTACCATTTATCCACTTCGCCAATGGCTTCTTCTGCCATCATCAACCAGGGCTACCAAACAAAGCTGGACAAAACAGGACGAGCCAACCGATAATGAATTTTCGTGTAAGTTAGAAGCATGGCCAGGTTTGCACAAAATGGTAACAACATTGGACACGTATCGTTTTGTATTATTGTGAAAATTAGTATAAGTCGTGCACCGATCTTTGTATTATCCTCACTGTTCGTTCTAGAAAACCTTCACTTTATAGTTAAGACGTGAGAGTATTTAGACCACTGACCACACTGTACAAAATTTTAATAAATTTAAAAAATAATAAAATTCGCATTGTCGAGTCGCCTAATATTCTCCTGTGAAGCGAAAACCGGCAAAATAGGACCACTATATTAAACTGAAAAGATTTTCGTATATTTGACGTTATCTTGAATTTTGGAGTAGGTATACACTTAAGCAGATTCTGACCATTTCTTGAGGACAGACTGCTGCTGCTTATTGCAAACTGGGAGTTCAATGATGCAATAGTGAATGACTATAGCACTTGTGAAATTTCGCGCCGCGATGAATGGGTTCCCCATAGGGAAAGATTTGTATGCAACCACTGGATGCGACATACTTTGCATTGATCCATGCTTGGCTATTTTCATCACAAGTTACTGTATATAGTATACTTATTAAGTTAACCATGAAATTGCCTGTATATATAAACACCTTAGAATGTAAGTAGCCTATACAGTGCATAAGCAGGTGAGGTAGTTCATAATGGGATATATTACATATTCCAAAAACTGGTAATATTTTCATGTTTCGCTAATGAACATATTCTCTTTGAGCTTGAGCCCAATCACTTTCCCTAGACCTAGCCCTTTAGTGCGCCAAACATGAGGATATAAGCCAAAACGTACTGTAGTCTGTACAGCTCATAATTCACAAACGTTCAAAAAAAAATTCTTGAAAACATATCTGGCTGAAAATTGTTCGGATTTTGGTCCAACCTCTCAAGCACACAGTGCAGTCCACAAGAGTCGTGGCTGGAAAATGGTCAAAGCGACGAATCAATTAACAAGATCTGCGCCACCTCCTGTCTCGTATTCAATTCATAACAATACCATGCATGTCTGCAGAATTATATACGAACAATATTATGCCACCGTACATGAAGAGTTTAACGGACGAAGATATGCACATCCATTAATGTCAAACCATATGCCTTTTAGCTTTGAGTTCGACCCCAGTTGCGCACTACAATAAGAGTCCAACCATAAGTTAAGTAGCTAGTATGCGTTTGTACTCGTGGCAAACAGTCATGTTGAAGCTAACACTCGTTTGTGTTGTAACTTTCGCTGGTTTTAATGTTGCTGCCTCAGTAAATACCTCTGTAGTAACTAATACTACTGTGCCTACTGCCATTCCTCGATATCAAACCGATCGATATTTGCCAGACCATGAATATGCCCGTGAGCGGTGTGTCGAGTGTGATATTCGCCGCCTCAAATGCTGTGGCAAGTATTATACCTGCGTTGGGAACTGCAGTGGCCACCCATGTGACAAGGACAGTCAATGTGGCGGAGGTTGCTGTGTTAACGGTACCTGCACGGAAAGTTGCAGCACACCTGACCAACGACGGTGTGTCGAGTGTGATATTCCCCGCCGCAAATGCTGTGGCAAGTATTATATCTGCGCTGGGAACTGCAGTGGCCACTCATGTGACGAGGACAGTCAATGTGGCGGAGGTTGCTGTCGTAGCGGGAACTGCACGGAAAGTTGCAGTACACCGTTCGAGTTAACAACGTTACAGGTTGGCCTTGTAGCAGGTGGGTCGGCACTGGCGCTGTCACTGGCATGTACCTGTACCTGTAAATGTGTTAGCAGTCGTCGCCGTCGCAACAAGAAGCCACAGAACGTGATCATTAACATGCACGCACCAACGAACGGCAACCCGCAACCAAGCAAACCACACGAAATACCCATGGGAGCCTACTATGCATCCACTCCACCAGGGAATCCTCCTGAAGGCATCAACTATGGCTACCGGCAAGCAAAGTTTGACAAAACAGGACGACCCATCCGGTAATATATTTTCATGTTTCAAAGCCAAGAGTATGGACAGTTACGTTCCGGACGGAATGGTGACAACATTTTAAGTGACTTCCTGCAATCTATATCGGACACGTTATGTGTCGTTCTTTTATATTACTGTAACAATTCCTGTATAAATCATACATTGATCTTTGTTTTGTTATTATTAAATGCACTTTTTTTTATTTATTTATTTATGTATTTATTTACCGCGAAGGGAGTGGTCGCCCAATCCTCCGAGCCAGAGGCTCATGTTTGAAGCGCTCGACAAGGCTTAGTTCGAAATGCCCAAGTTAGATTACGAAAATCACAAAAAAAAATTAGATTGCTTTTGTTGGCATGTGTT